CAAACATTTATGCAAACAGATTGCATTTAAATTAATATTTCACAAAATCTAAATCAAATCCCACCCAATTGTTGCTTGGTAAGATTTTTACAAGTAGGTTTGACATGTTAAAAAACTCTCCAATAATATATAGCTAAACTATTTCAAGAAATTTCTAAGCTACCAACAGGTTCAGATTAAGTTTGGATGACCGACATACATTCTATTGCCAAATCCAGTTGCACGTATGTGCAGAAGTTCTAGCATGTATAGAAAGATTTCAAATTCCATGGGCAAAGAAAGCCCAAATATAGATAAACTAGCAAGAGAAGGCTCACAGACTGAAATTGAGTAGACTATACCAGTATTTTAATCTATGGCTTTGACATCATAGGGCATAGGCAGATCATGTTTTGAAATTTTAGTAAATAAAGGAGTAACTGTATGTACCTTAGCCAATGTTAAAGTACCCAAAGTATGTGACCTGTTTCTTTCCTCACTCTATATAGAACCTGTTGCTGAATGGCGGAAGAATATTGCCAGAAGACTGTCTAATGTCACAACTGAGTTCAATCTCCATCAATCGATGATTTTCCTTAGACCGGTTCATTGAGAAAGAAACATTCAGGTCATCCCCTTCACTAACATGAATAGGAGGATGAAGGAGGAAAACCTAGTAAAACAGGCAGTACTTTAATATTTGATTGAAAATAGTGTCACTGAAGAAGCAAACAATCATCAAATGCACAAAACTGCAGACTGCTCATACTAGAGTCTGGAAATACATGCAAGAATGATAGGTGCACAACTAAAGTCTTACAACAGAAAAAATTAAAACAGATCTTATCCCAAAAAATTAACTAATACTATGCAAACTTGTCAAGAAGAAGATGCAGACAATACAACCTCCTAAGAAACAGGTAAATGAATAGGTCCATTATTTTACTGGGGGAGGAAAAAACATGCCACGATGAAGAAACTTGTAGAATTGAGATCAAAAGTAAAAACAGATTCATTTTTCATATACAGACCTGCTGGCCCCAATGTGTGCTATCATCCATACTAGGTGCAGTTGTCAACTCGATCTCTTTCTGAGCAGGATCCACCTTGCTTCCCTGGTGCACCAGACCAATAGAAAAGTTATATACACTCCACTCAGTACATGGATGCCTCAGAGTACAAGCATGCACCATAATAAGCTGCACTGAAGCTCAACTTACTCTAAAATGGACATCAAACCATCCACCAAATCCACAAAGCCTTGTCCTCTCTCCAGTGATTGATGATAAAAGGTTTGATCTGACTTCAAGGACATCATTCACTGTAGCAGTAGAACAATCAATCTCCTTCACAATAGCTGCTGTCCCTATAACTTGATGTGGATGAAGGTTGCTCCATAATGATGTCTGCAAAAATTAATATTATGCTCTTATTGATGGTACAACACAACAAAAGAGCATGCAATGTCTCATGCATAAATGGTCAAATAGATAAACAAACTGTTTTATTGAATATGTTTCTTGATCAAAAAGTTATAATGAAGTTGGTTTAGAAAGAATATAAGCAAGCAGATAAAGACTAATTTCATTATTTACAACTCAATAGCAAATCCAAGTTCTGATACGAGTAAAATATTCCACAAAGAAAACTTAAATAAAAACCAAGTCAACAAAAAAGCTTATCTAAATCCCTTCCAAAATGAGAGAAATTTTCAAAGATAGATTTTCCTCAATGAAATTACATCAAAAAAATATGCAGCATACCAGCTGGTGTGGTCACACCATTCAGCCAATGCTCACATAAAGAAACAGTTATTAACCAATTCAAAACTTCAGAAGGATTGGGAAGGGGGCAGCTAGGGGAAGGAGGAGTGTGATATAGGTTGCTTGGCCAACAAGTATAATTTTTCCCGTGAATATCAGAGTTATAAATATATATTGACAACATCATAAGATATCAAATATGAGATTGCACAAGATTAAAAATTGAAGCAGCATAAAAGTAAAATTAATTTCATTAATTTTAATACATTCACTTATTTTAATACTCTTAAAGGATTAGCAGATTCTGAAATTTACCTGTAAATAATATTTCTTCTGCTCTTCAGAGAAAGGCTTTGTTAAAACACTCATATTAACACCATAGGAAGTCTTAGTATCTTGGACAAACCTATACCACTCGTCCATGGATCCTTCATAATCATTCCTTTTCTGATCTCCCAAACTTGACCTAATAGGTGCCATCCACATGCGAGCATGACTAGGATACCTGAGAGAGCAAAACTTGTCTGATCAACCCATTCAAAAATAACTTACAGATATCATAAGTAATAAATAAATACAACAGAGCAAGCTCAAACTAAAGGAGTTAAGAAAAATCAAATCTGCAGCCCAACTGAAAAATAAGCGCAGGAGAGTGAGAAATTCATTGAAGATCATACTATGTTCAATGCGGAGACCATAAATTATTAACTTAGACAAAGATATGGATTATCCAATTTTGCTTCTCTAATGTCTCCCTGGTAGTGGAAATTCAAGTAATTTAAGGGATTGCTATAAAAACTTTCTGCCCTAATCCCTACAATTGTCATTGCCACCTACTATGCTAAAATTGAACCATATGCACATTTAGTCCTCACTATCATGAAAAAATATTTTTCCACATTCTAACACCAGTCAAAATCTATAAATTTCACCATTTTAGTTTAAGCAATCAAATATTTGCAGATGGCAAGAACATCACACAGTTGTGTCTCCGTCAAGGGTGTGTAAGTGAAGCCTTTATTGTACAGAATGTATATAATCTCGTATCAGTATATGGTCAAATCTTCAAAGGACTTGAAACCATGGGTAATTCTTGCAAAAAAAAAAAACAACATCAGCATGTAGTTTTCGCACTCTAAATGTAATAAAAAAAAAACCCGTTACAAGGAAAAAACAAAAGAAGAAAATGTGAAACTATAGTGATGTAATTGTACATGACACACAACTATAATAAAACATAGCATCTCCAATCACTCACATGACTCCAGTTGGCTTCAGCCAGCGATCACGAGCACATATCACCGAATCAAACATAGACTCACGAAGAAGAAAGTAGCCCATCCATTCTGATATAATTACATCAACTGCATATTAACCAAAATGTAATATTAGAATTTACAGCAATAAATCATAATGATAAAAATAGATTAGAAATCTAATACCTTTCTCTGGCAGGCTAACATCCTCTATAGACCCCTCAATTACTTCAACCACATGATCAAGATTATTAGCTTTGATAAGTGTGCGGGCATGTTCCGACATCTTTGTAGCTTCCACAGCATACACCTTCTTTGCGCCTGCTTGTGCCGACCAAATTGCAAGTATACCACTTCCCGTTCCTACATCCAACACGGTCTTCACAAGAAATACAAGAAACTAATCAAAATTTGACATTTTCACAGAAGCTACTTACAATAAGTAAGTAGAAAAAAAAAAATGCTTACTTTTCCTTGGAAGTGATGTTTATTCTCAAATATGGCGTTAAAGTAAGCGTCCATGCGGACCCGATCAGAAAGCATCTCTTTTTGATGGTAGAGAAAGGCATAGGTGCAGAAATAATTAGCGAAATCGACTCCTTTGTCCACCGTTGGACCGCCGCCAATCTCTCCATTGCTGCCCCCAGATACGACGCCGTTTCTGCAGCTCCCCATGCCTCCTCTACTCGGTTCACTGTCTTTCACTGAAAGGGAGGGAAAAGAGAGATTTTTATTTTTTAGGGCAACGTCGTTGTATAAATGTGGGCTCACCTAATAGCTATTGTACTTCAACTTTTGTTACTGCTTAATGCTTATTGGTTATTGGAATTACATTGAGGTCCATTTACACTTTTATCCCCCGTGTACGGAATTACGGAATAAAGGAAAATACCTAGTTTCGTAAATTGGCCCCAATAATTGTACATTAAGAGCATTTCCGTCTCCGCGACAAATTCTTTATTATTCATATAAGCAAGAGGGTAAAACCTTTTATTCTTTAAATATAAATTAAAGAACGAGTTTAACTCTTTACATTTAAAGTATTTTTAAATAATTATTTATATAATTTAAACTCTTTATTATAAATAGTTTATTTATAGAAATAAGAATTTAACAGACTTTTTATTCTTTAAATATAAATTAAAGAGTAAGATTGACTCTCCATATTTATAGAGTCAAATTTTACTCTCTATCCTAATTTTAAATAATAAGTTACAAGTTTCTATGCATTTTATTTATAATTTATCTTTTCTATTAAGTTTCTTTCTTGAAAAAATATATTTTATCTCCTAAAATTTAAAAAGTCTATTGGATTTGAATAAAAAATTTGTTCTTTATATTTAAAAATCAATAAAGATGCTATTTATTTATATAAAATTAAAATATGTTCTTTAAAAATAAAGAGCATCATTAGAGCATCTCCAATTTTGCTCTTTATTTCGAAGAGCATCTTTCATATAAATAAAGAGCATCTTCATAAATTTTAAAATATAAAGAACACAATTTTTATTCAAATCTAATAGACTCTTTAAATTTAACGAAGATACTCTTTATTTTTAAGAAATAGATTTAATGGGAGAGAGAATTAATAAATAAAATGCATAAGAACTTATAGTTTATTAATTAAAATTAGGATAAAGAGTGAAATTTAACTCTCTAAATGTGGAAAATCAAACTCACTGTCTAATTTATATTTTAAAGATAAATAGTTAGTTGGACTTTTGTTTTTATAGATAAACTATTTATAATAAAGAGTTTGGATCATATAAAGAGTTTTTTAAGATGCTCTAATAAGTTTAAAATTCAAAGAACATATTCAATTTGTTTCACAGAGAATGTGGCAAATCTAATCAATTCTCTTAATTAAGGGCAGAGATGATTAAACACTGATTAAAGATTAAATTAAACAGCTACACCACAAAAATAATAGGATTAAAATACAATGAATACAACTATAGCCCTATGGAAAACAATCCCGAGCTCATAAAATCCCTTTTTACTCTTTTATCATCATGTCATTCAATCTTTTAAGACCTTAGAACTGACAAAGTAAGAGCTCTAGTAGTAATTCCTATTAGTATATGGGAGAACTCGAACTTAAAAGCTCATATAAGTATAACCTCCTTTTATTTTTTACACCGTTAAGTCACATAGGAATGGTTTATGGAAAACAACCTTGTAGCTGGCTTAAACGTGAAACCTAAGAGTCCGTTTGGTTCTTTATTTTCTACCTTATCCCCCATCTTATTCCCAAAATAATAGTTTGTTTCATTATTTAGGAAATACTATTATATTATATTTAATTACTTTTAGACCTCTTAAGTTTATTAATTTAATTAAACACCCCCAGAAAAAAAGTTTAAAAATTAACAAAAACACCCCCATTACCCATAGTTGCTAGATTCTGGCAACCACCGTCGGTGGTGGCCGGAATCTGTCACGAAGGCATAAAAACGATCGGAACTGACCGGTAATTCGCCGATCTGGCCTTTTCTGGCTAGATCCATGGTGGATATGGCCGAAAAAGGCCAGATGTGGCCGTCAGTGACGGCTAAAGAAATGGCCGTCTTTGACGGTCAATGACGGCCATATCTTTGGCCGTCTCTAACAGCCACATCCGGCAATTTGCGGTCGTCGACGGCCAGATCTGGTCGTAGATCTGGCTTTTTTCGGCTAGATATGTGGTGGATTTGGCCGAAAAAGGCCAGATCGATGCACGACCGACCAGATCCGATCGGCCTGCATCGTAACGCCAGATTCCGGCAGTGGTGGCCAGAATCTGGCACTATGATGGGTGGGGGTGTTTTTGTCATTTTACAAAAATTTTATATATTGGGGTGTTTAGTTAAATTAGCAAACCTAGAGGGTTTTTGTGAATTTTTAAATTTTACCTCGTAATAATCACTCTACTCAACTACCCAATACTATTTTCAAAATTCTATCCAAAACAACAAACCAAACGGACCCTAATATTGACTAAATATCTAGTTTAGTGTTGAATTTAGGAGTAGCATTATGTTGCTAGTCTGTCCTGCATTTAATTAGCAACTGGTATCAATGTATTTATTTTTAATACATGCTGTTTTTCCATTTGTATGAATGCATGGATTGAAGAAAGTCTTACAGAATATCCCAAACCTTGTTTAGTCCTTGTCTCACAATTTGTCAATGTTTAAAAAAAAAAAATCTAAACCCTGCAAATGGCATATCAGGTCAATGCTTGTTAATGGGCATTCCTTAACAACAAAAACTTTAATTTATCCCCTCTTCCAACTGAAATATTAAAACCAGTGCTGCGAATGTCTAAAAGGAATATTAGCAGCACTAAGCTTTGAAAATGTATCAATTCATTCGAATTACACCAACTTCAGGTAGAAAGAGTCTTTAACAAGGAGCAGTTACAGAAGTAAAAGATAATGACATGTTCTGAATCATTCTACTGGATCTATGAAACTCTTCGACGGGTCGGTTTTGGCCTATGCTTTTATTTGTATATTCATGATAGTGGACTTCTTCTGATTCTTTGGGAAATTTATCTTTCATTTTCACCGATCTTATGCATTATATTACACTTATGTATATTGTTGTAATAACAAAACGAAGTGCGAAGTGTTTTGAAGGCGTCAACCATTAGAAGATAGAGGTTTTGATTAATCCTATGAGTCTTGTCTTGACTTGGTTCTATAAAAATAAAGATTTGAATGAGTCAATAGATAAGTATAAACTCATAGGATGTGTAAAAACCTTTGATTATGGCGATGATTTGAGATATATTTTGTCAGGACATCTGATATTTTATTTATCATGACCATTAACATATATATATATATATATACTTTAAATCTTGAAAGACAAGAAGTAAAAAATCTATAAATTTCTTGTATTTCCCCCACATAAGATTTGTTTTTCCCGTTTGCTTTCATCATCACTACTGGATGTGGGTAGCCATAGCCCAGGATCCGGAAGACAAAACAGAAACAGACAAGACAGAATAGGTCTAAAATGTTCTTTCACTTAGTTTATGGTTATGGTGAAAGCAGTCTATTATGTGAAGAACGACGTGCAGGTGTGAGACATTGCTGGGTCTTTACTCTTTGGAGAAGACTTACTTTCTCTCAATAAAATATAAATCATACACTATTGACCATTTCAGAGCTTAAAAAAAAATAAAGAATTTGAATAGTTTTTATGAAGAAACCATCTGAAAAAGGCTTACCCTTTGAAATAAATGAACAAGGAAGATTAGGTGAAGTTCTTGGTGGTTTCTTTTAATTCAAATTCAAATAAACTCAACCCCGAAACTTCAACAGTTGACGATTTATAGAAGAAAATTATTTGCCTTATTGATATTAAATAACATAAAAATGCTATGCACCTTACTTTTCTAGGATAGCAAACAGTCAACATTGGTTTTTCTCTGGACAGTCAGAGAACATGAAAATACACAGAAAGAGAATCTTTAGAATGAAGCTCTAATGGAGGACAAGAAAGCTCTCGTAATTGCTGCTTCAACAGTCATTGCCCTCATCTTAGTTATCATTATTGCTCGTGTCTCACTCAAACTTTCCAAAGTTTTCTTCCTAATTGCAGGGGCAGATATCGCAGTGATCCTTTTTGTTTTCGCCTATTTAATAATCAGAAGGCGTTACGATCGCAGAAGAAAGTTGTTGGAGACACAACTGAGCTCAGCAGGCAGAGAGCTTCGGATAGAATATAGCTTCCTTAGAAGAGTTGCAGGAGTTCCCATAAAGTACAGATTCAAGGAACTTGAAGAAGCAACCGACAATTTCCAATCGTTTTTAGGCAAAGGAGCATCAGCTTCTGTTTTCCAAGGCATACTAAATGATGGTACTGCTGTTGCTGTGAAGAGGATCGACGGCGAGGAACACGGCGAAAAAGAATTCAAATCAGAAGTTTCAGCCATTGCTAGTGTGCAACATGTAAATCTTGTACGCCTTCTTGGTTTCTGTATTGTTCCTGGAGGGCCTCGACACCTTGTTTATGAGTTCATTCCGAATGGTTCACTTGATAATTGGATCTTCCCTGGAAGAAGAAGAAGTGGGAATTCCCGAGGGGGTTGCTTGTCGTGGGATTTAAGGTATAGAGTTGCCATTGATGTGGCCAAGGCACTTTCTTATCTTCATCATGATTGCAGGTCAAGGATATTACATCTTGACGTCAAGCCAGAAAACATACTTATCGATGAGAATTATCGAGCAATTGTGTCAGACTTTGGTCTATCAAAGTTAATGAGAAGAGATGAAAGCAGAGTTGTTACAACAGTCCGGGGCACAAGAGGTTATTTAGCCCCAGAGTGGCTGTTGGAGCGTGGAATTTCGGAAAAATCTGATATTTATAGTTATGGGATGGTTCTTTTAGAAATGATAGGAGGGCGAAGAAATGTTTGCCTGATTGAACAAGGCAATGACAAGTCCAAAAGGAAATGGCAATACTTTCCGAAAATTGTAAAGGAGAAAATAAAAGAAGGGAAGCTTATGGAAGTTGTTGACAATAGACTGATTGAAAATGGACTGAAAATTGATGAGAGGCAGGTAAAGAGATTGATTTATGTAGCTTTTTGGTGCATACAGGAGAGGGCTAGGCTGAGGCCTAGTATGGCTCGGGTAGTGGAAATGCTCGAAGGGCGTGTAACAGTAGATGAGCCACCGGAGACC